TTTTTCCCTGAGACAGAGTCTCACTCTGTTGCTCAGGCTGGAATGCAGTGGTATGATCTTGGCTCACTGCAACCTCCACCTCCTAGGTTCAAGTGATTCTCCTGTCTCAGCCTCCTGAGGAGCTGGGATTACAGGCACACGCTATCACACCTAGCTAATCATTGTATTTTTAGTAGAAACAGGGTTTTACCATGTTGGCCAGGCTGGCCTCAAACTCCTGACCTCCAGTGATCCACTTGCCTTGGCGTGAGCCACCGTGCCCAACCAAATCAAGAACTTGGAATGCACCTTTCTCCCCTTCATTGCTGGCATCTGGGAGGTGGGGAATACTTCTCATTTAACTCCGCGAGTTCTCCACTAGCATGGTGCCTGGCAGTTACTAAGAACACAGCGTTTGCCGAATGGCTGAATGAATCAATGCACAAATTAGTGTGATCTGGGGAAGGGAAAAGAATGCAAATGATTCCCGACATCACTGGGAGCCCTGCCGGGGCTGGTGGCCATGACCCCGTGGGCATCACATTAGCATGTGCCTGTTTGCAACAGAGGCCTGGGTGGAGAAAGGGGATGTCAGATTAATGAGCTCATTCGGCTGGATTTCAGCAGGGCAGAAGTGAGGCAAAGAAAGCGGCAAGTGACCAGAAACGAAAGCTGTGCAGGCAGCTTGTGTCAGGACGGGCCGGGTGCGGGAGCTCACGCCTGTAATCCCAGCACTTTGCGAGGCCAAGGCAGGTGGATCACTTGAGGCCAGGAGTTCTACACCAGCCTGGGCAACATGGTGAAATCCTGTCTCTACCAAAAACACAAAAATTAGCCAGGCGTGGTGGTGTGTGTCTGCAATCCCAGCTAGTTTCGAGGCTGAGGCAGGAGAATCACTTGAACCTGGGAGGTGGAGATGGCAGTGAGCCAAAACTGCACCACTGCACTCCAGCCTGGGCAACAGAGCGAGACTCTGTCTAAAAAAAGAGAAAGAGAAGGATGTGAAACCAGCAGGAAGCTGACAAACTAGAGCACTCCTGGGACTTGGGGCGGGAGGTTTCAAAGCCGAGAAAGGAGATAGCCTGCAGGGAGGGAGGGAGCTGCAAGGGCAGACAGTAAGGTCAGACAGAAGGCTGACTGTAGGATTTCAGAGAGGAGCCTCCTGGAGGCAACAAGTTCCAACGTGCAGATACTGCCTATGCCAAGGGCTCAGAGAACATGAAATGCAGGAGAGGTATCTGGAGAGCAAAGGTGATTGTGACACTCTGCGCGGGCTATCAATGACGTCCTGTGTGCCTCCAAGAGGGAAAGTGGGAGGCTGGCCTGGGGCTCCGGTCCCAGCTCTGTGACCGTGGGTGAACCACCCACCTCTCCAAGCTCGTTCTCTTTCTCTGTCTTCCTTAGATCCTAGACACCAGGATGAGCTCCAGTTTCCTCATCTCTAAAGCAAAGCTAGTAACACCTTCTCATAGGATTATATAAAATTAAATTTAAAATTTGAGGCCGGGCGCGGTGGCTCATGCCTGTAATCCCAGCACTTTGGGAGGCAAGGGCGGACAGATCACGAGGTCAGTTCAGGACCATCATGGCCAACATGGGGAAACCCCGTCTGTACTAAAAATACAAAAATTAGCTGGGTATAGCGGCAGATGCCCGTTATCTCAACTACTTGGGAGGCTGAGGCAGGAGAATCACTTGAACCCGGGAGCCAGAGGTTGCAGTGAGCCGAGATTGCACCATTGCACTCCCAGCGAGGGGACAGGGCAAGATGCCATCTCAAAAAGAAAATAATAAGATAAATAAATAGAAGTTGATTATATTGGAAAACATATTGTGCATAAGACATACAATTTTTATTTGTCAATTACAAAAATTAAAAAACTTGATTATATAGTGCTTGGCCCATGCTGTGCAATCAGAAAGTCCCTACTCCTCCAGCGCTACAGAGCCAAGGTGAGGTCAGGTGCAATGGCGCATGCCTGTAATTCCAGCACTTTGGGAGGCTGAGGTAGGTGGATCACTTGTGATCAGGAGTTTGTTTTTAGACCAGCCTGGCCAACATAGTAAAACCCCATCTCTACTAAAAAAAAACAAAAATGAGCCGGGTGTGGTAGTGTGCACCTGCCATTCCAGCTACTTGAGAAGCTGAAGCGCAAGAATTGCCTGAACCTTGGAGATGGAGGTTGCAATGATCCGAGATCGCATCACTGCACTCCAGCCTGAGGGACGGAGTGAGACTTTGTCTCAAAAAAACAAAAACAAACCAAAAAACCTAGGTGTGGTGGTATATGCCCATGGTGTCAGCTACTGCGTGGCTGAGGCAGGAAGATCACTTGGCACAGGAGTTTGAGGCTGCAGTGAGCCGTGATGGCACCACTGCATTCCAGCCTGAGTGAAGAGGGAGACCATATCCACAGAAAAGAAAAAAGCCCAGTGAGCACCAGGTGGACCCCAGCCACCCAGAGCTCCCACTCACCAATGATCTTATCCGAAGCATTACAAGCAAGGGCAAAGCGAGTGGTTTTGGAGTAGATTTCCATGGTTCTCCTCAGGGCTTGCTGGGCTCCATCAGTCATGCTGAGAAGAAAAACACAGATTTGCAAATGGGACCCAGGGCCCAAACAAAAACCCAGGACACAAGACATGTCCAATGTCCTACACGAGGGTCTCATCAGTACACAGGCCACCCCTCTAACGCTGAAACCTGCAGGCTGCTCTCTCAAAGACTGCTCAAACAGCATTTAGTACCTACAGCATCAGAACCACTCTCAAGTAAAACCCATGAAAACCACCACCTACAGTGGCTGCTACCACACCTGCGGGAACTGCTTCTCTCTCCAGCCCTTCATGACATTAAATGCAAGAGAAGAGTCACAGGCTGGGCGAGGTGGCTCACGCCTATAATCCCAGCACTTTGGGAGGCCGAGGTGGGCGAATCACGGGGTCAGGAGCTCGAGACCAGCCTAGCCAACATGGTGAAGTCTTTTCTCTACTAAAAATATAAAAATTAGCCAGGTGTGGTGGCGAGCCCCTTTAATCCCAGCTACTCATAGGAGGCTGAGGCAGAACTGCTTGAATCTGGCAGGCGGAGGGTACAGTGAGCTAAGATGGTGACACAGCAAGACTCTGTCTCCAAAGAAAAAAAAAAGAAGAGTTGTGACACCAGCTGCCAGCTTTTCTTTCTTTCTTCCTTTTTTTTTTTTT